TTTTGCTAAAAGTTTCTGTTTGTTTGTTTTTATTGAATTATTCATATAAAATAAGTTACTCTGTACACAAGTTGGTATATGCTGAAGACGGGACCGCCATTTAAAGTGGYYATTCGAGCCACTTGAAAGTCTAACCATTTGCAGATGTAATTACGAAGATAGTACTTTCTAATTCTCCTCAGTTATTTTAAGACCCTGAGTGTTGGTCCAGCCGGGACCACAACCTCCCGCACGAAAGTCCGATACTCAACCAACTGATCATCTCGATCGCTCAAGGCAACCTTTTRAATAGCACTGATGACTACAAACTTTGTTTCCATGCAGAATGCAAAAGTRCGGCGACCCAATCGATAGACTACATACGAGCGAAGATTACCAAACTGACTGTCCTTGCAGTGGTGAGCAGGCYGATTACAGATCAATTTGAATTAACGCCAAAAGGAGGTTTGTTGAGATCTTCTGTCTGTGAAGATATCATACTACAGTTTCCTGAAGGAGCTGTGACAAGGAATGTCAATGGTAGTCTGCAGGTAAAATAAATCAAGCATTTATTTGATTTTACCTTCAAATTTCTCGATACTCAAGTGTCTGAGATTTCACACCACATCAAGGACGTGCAATGTCAAGTGTAACTTTAGTTACTTAGGTCGAGGAAGGCTACGGGTATGATTTGTTCTCGCTAATTTCAAGTGTCCAAGATTTATTTGCACCACATCAACATAGCGCAAATTTAACGTCAGGTACTTTTAGGAAAGGAAAAGGAAGACTAGAGGAATGACGTTTTCCCGCCAACCAGYCAAGTGCTCAAGATTTTGCATTAAAGCAATGACAGGAAAAGCTTTAGAAGATACGTAGACGACTCTTCTGGTTGTAAAGATGGTCTATAACGCGGGATATAGTGTCTCTGAAAGTGGTCCTTACTTCATATTGCCGAAGTACCGCCTTTCATCTTTTAAGAAAAAGTGTGTAATATCTGATTTTTTTTTTTGACAGGTACTAATGATACCCAAGGAGGTCACCACTAATGGCTACCCCTGCCCAATAGTTTTYGTCAATGGGTTTGAAGGCATCAACTTTCGTAATTACGTGTTGGTAAGAATACCGCACCCATGCCCTTCAAAATACCCTGTTGGACAGATAAACCTGATGTGTTTGAAACAAAACCAGTGGACGAACATTACAGACCAAACTGATCATGTTATTTGTGTGGAGCAGCAACACTACATAGAACTTCATGTGCAACATTTTTCAGGGTACGTATACTGGGGTACTTTTGTGGTTTGGCTAAMCTTTAAGTCCTGCTCTTCATTTCTCCCTTCATATTTAGTTCCCAGGAATGTAATGGCCTCAAACTAATGCTATAGTTGCATACAAGTAAACCCTCAACCCTTAGTAACTTGAAAAATCTATCCCCAATCCCCCATCCCCTTCCCCCATCCCCCATCCCTTCTCTACCCTATCCCTATCCCTATCCCTATCCCTATCCCTATCCCTATCCCTTTTCATGTCCTTATCCCTTAACACAACTCAAAGCAATCGTACATTATCCAAGTCAGGCAAAATCCAAACCCTTAGAAATCCTAACTTAACCCAACTTATTCTCTRAAAACTAAAACATATCCATCCACATTCCAAACYCAAACCAARCAAAACTAAATTTAAAACCAGCTCAGGCCGCCAATAACTGTGACTATTTTTGGTTGTATCGTAGTTTATGGCCATGGCTTCTCGCAGTTCCCTGTAATTTTATCGAACTATTCCGATATTTGTGTCAAAGTCCACAAGCTGTCTGTTTTGCGGCATTCAAACAGAAGTRTCAGTCAAGTCTTGCGCCCAAAATAACCTTGTTATGTGTGGCAAATCACGACGACGAAAGAATAATAAAAATGAGAGGTATAAAATAATGGRCTGCTTGTATCTGATTTTCTTCAAAAGGTACACCCATATAGAGAGAGGAGTGACAAATAGGCATCCCTACCTTCTCAGGAGACTAAATACTCCTGCCGTAAGATTATTCAGCTGCAAGAAAGAGTATGATATTTTGGCACATATATCAGTCATATAGTATGAAGTTTTATGTTTACAGCCATCACTCAACGTACGGGTCTCTTTCGTGAGGTTTGCTCAACATGCACTACCACTACATTCTATATTTACAACATACAACACTCRACTAACTTGTTGACATGTTGAGGAAAACCGCATAACCCGGAGAAAAACCTTGTAGCATAGGAGAGAACAACACATCAAAAAACTTGTGAGTTAGGTGTTATATGTAATGATAGGTGTGTGTGTGTGTGTGGAGCCCCTCATAGGCAGTGATGTCATTAAAACATTAAGCTTCCCGACTTTTCCATTYCAGATAAAGGTTACGGAATACTGGCTTGTACTACTGCAAGAAAGAAAATGAGACCCAATGACAATGCGTTCGTAAAGCTGGACGGAAAATATCAGGCACGCCGGGAAGACCAGGATATTTTCTTGCAGTAAGTCAGCAAGTTGAAAGAGATTGTAAAGTTTTTTGCATTCCTAATAATTGTTTGTTACTTCTGTAAATAATGAAGCTTTTTTCAAATTTTTTCTTTGCTGTCTTTTCACTCCATTTGCTTGTATCAGTTTTCTTTCTTTTACAAAAAAAAACCTAATTCTTACCCTCTCCCTTCCTCTATTCCTCTCCCTTGTTGGTGATAACCAACTCTCTCAGTTATTCACTTTCTCACCCATCCACCCACAGTGTAACTGCCCATCCACTTACTCACTATCTTACCAACCCAGGACCACTCACCTATCTACTTCCTACCTTTTTCCACTCTTGCGTTCTCGCCCACCCATAATTTAATTAGCTTTTCCCCATGAGGGCAGGGACCCCACAACAGCATAGCCAATTACAGTGGACCCTGTAGAGTTTTAGCACGGGCACTGAATATGGTTGTCACGGATCTTTTACGTCCGCCTTATACAGGGTTATATAGTGAAGACAGACAGGGCCGTGTCCGAGAAGACTTGAAGGTCTTACCATTTGCAGATATAATTACAAAGGCAGCACCTTCTCCTCAGTTATTTTAAGACACTGAGTGTTGGTCCGGCCGAGGCTTGAACCACGACCTCCCGCACAACAGACCGACGCTCTTACCAACTGAGCTAATCGGGTTGCCATGATCACTCACCTACTATCTATCTATTCCTTACTCACTTTCTCACTCACCCACCCAACCATGACCACTCACCAACTCACCTCTTACGTATTCACCCCCCTTTTTGACTCATCAACCCATGACACATAACTTCTCATCGCCTGAAACCTATTCAAGCCCCTTGTCCATTTTGTCCGTGTCCACACACTAACTTACCCACCCTCTTCCTATACCTCCCACACTCCCTTCCTCGCTTTCTCACTCTCCAACCCCCCTTCACATCCGTCCACCATGATCACTCACCCACTCACTCACTAATTCTCCTGTGTTTACTTTCATCTCAGATTTCTATACAACGAATCTTACATAAGAGAATTAAGTATCGAAAGAAAACAAGAAACAATTCAGGCTGATGTTGACAATGCAGTCCTCCTAGTTTCGTTCTACCCCAACAATGAGTTTGCTGAAAATGACCTCATTTGTAAGCTAGATGTTCAGGAAAACATAACAACAGAGGTAAAAATGTCTCATCTCATCTCGCTTTATCTCGTCTCCTATTATCTTCTCTCCTCTCCTATCCTTTATTAACGTCCCTTATCCTCTCCTCTTGTCTTGTCTTCTCCTGTGTTTACTTTTCTCCGTCCATTCTTGTCTTGTCTTCTCGCCAGCTTGCTTCATCTCACCTCACTTGAACTCGGTTTACCTCACCTCACATTGCATTGTCTCATCTTGCCTCACCTCACCTCTCGTCATCTTACCTTGCCTCGCCTCATCTTGCCTCACCTCAGATCACCTCGCATCATCTTGCCTCACCTCACCTCGTCTCATCTCATCTTGCCTCACCTCGTCTCATCTTGCCTCACCTCGTCTCATCTTGCCTCACCTCGTCTCATCTTGCCTCATCTTGCCTCACATCATCTTGCCTTGCCTCACCTCAACCCTGCCTTGCCTCGTCTAACCTCGCCTCTACTCTCCTCTTCTGTCGTCGTCTCTGCTTTTTCTTAGCTCGTCCCCTCAACGCTCTTCGACTCCCCTTTTCTCTCCTCTTGTCTCCAGTTTAAATGCTTTAAGATGAATTTGAATTTTATTAATAACAGAACTACCGTCTGGAACTCCTTAGATTTATGAGGGAACTTGCTTGTATAGAAGGTATGTACTGCCACATGAAGTGAAGCGTGTCAAAGCATGCATTTCGCCTTATTTATGAAAAGTAAGAATAAGCAATAACTGTGGATGTGTTTAATCAGGTTAGACTCAGACTAAGGAAGCCGTACAGATAATAATTGTTCGTCCTATCTAGTGCACATCAGACGTTATTGAGGATTGCATTTTTAGCCGAGAGAGCGACAACAACAAATCTAGTATAGTAGTAATAAATTATGTGTTCGGTGTGTGTAATGAAATAGAGAGAATAAGAGAAAAATATCTAATGCAACAAATTTACAACAACAACAAATCTAGGATTTTTAAACAGCGAGCGTCAACCCTTGATCTCTAAAGACAAAGAAAACACACAACTATTTAACAAATAATCAACCAGTTTACTATAGGATAATTAAGCGAACAAATTCTAAAGTTYAATTTAAATTAGCACTTTGTGTTTGCGCTTAAATAATATCCTCGGATTAACAAAGGGTTCTTACACCCCGGCCCGCAGCCATCCGCCACTGTATAATTTAGAATAATAAAGGTTACGTACTTGATAAATTATACYTAATTTTTCAAATATTTGGGAATATATAACGCGCACGCTGATTGCCTGCCTGCCGTGTTCGTATCAGAAGACAGAGACACGCTCGCACAAAATTCTTTAAAAGTATTTTATAAAAGCAATATAAAACGGCTGCTTTTCTATCTATTTCTCTGYATTGTGATATAAACTCTTTGGGAGCTGTAGAGCGCTCGAAAAGCAAGGGAAACAATTGGGTACGCCTCGTTTTTCTAAGCTTGCTTCTCTCGTGCTCTGCAGCGCCAGGCCTGTTTATATCACTGTACAGACGCACGCGCGCGCGTTTTATATACTCAAATTGTGTAGTAACCATATTTTCTTTAAATAAAYTTAATCATTTATGGAGATATATTTWYATTTTATMTATAGTCAAAGTAGCGAGTGAATACTAGGTTGAATATATTGTCTTGATACCTCTTGTTGATTTTTCAGATGATTTTGCAAGTTTGTCGCTGCAGCAATCATATAATGAAGAGGACAGCGATGAAGGACAAGGTATATACAATAAAAGATTACAAAGAAGAAGGGAGCAGTAGGAAAAATAGCAGCAGCAGTAGCAGTACAAGGAAAAGGAGGAATAACAGCGACAGGAGTAGTAGTAAAAGGGACAGAAGCAGCAACAGTAGCAGTAGAAGGAACAGAAGAAGTAGCAGCAGTAGTAGAAGAAACAGAAGCAGAATGTGAAACAGTAGCAGCAGCAGCAGCAATAATAGTAGCATAAAGGACAGTAGTAGCAGTAGAAAAAGCAGAATCAGTAGCAGCAGCAGTGGTAGCAGTAGCAGTAGCAGTAGCACCATCATCAGCAGTAGTAGCAGTAGCAGCACAAACACCAGCATCAGCAGTAGTAGCAGTAACAGTAGCAGTAGAAGAAGCAGGAGCAGAAGCAGAAGCAGAAGCAGAAGCAGAAGCAGAAGCATTGATGCTAGAAGAAACAGCAGTAACAGCAGAAAAAGTTTTAACAGCAGCAACAGCGGTCGTTTAATGTGTCTTTTCTACATTCAGAAAACCAGATAACCSATATTATCTCATCCTTCGGCCCGGAAGAGAGGCTACTAACGATTAGTGCCGAAGAAGTAGCCGATAAATTACCCAGCATTTTGAATGTGATGAGATCAGTAAATCAAGGAGACCCTCCTCCASACGTCATGAAGCAGTGCCGCATATTCTGTCGCATGCTTAAGGAACTTGGTAGAACAGATATTGTAGATGYTCTAAGAATGGTACTACCTGAGGGCATGACCGGTAAGCCTGGAGTTGATTGGTTGCACTAACTTGCACTAAAAGTGCTACGCTCTGTTTACACCTATCTTCAAAACTACGCGACCTGTGTAGTTGGCACTTAAAAGGTATTTCTTGTGTTTTGGCTGCCGTCAATCAAACTTCGCACGATTAGCTTTCATTCAAAAAAGCCTTAAAATGATCTCAAAGTTTCAACCGTTTGAATATTACAGAAAGAAAGACAAGTTTGCTTCGTTTCAGAACTTACCAAGGAAGGATTTTGCAAGAGCAAGCCGTTTTCATATTTGATTGACGGCAGCGAAAACACAGAAAACGAGACGAGTCGTGAGCAGCGCTGGTCGCGTAATTTTGAAAATAGGTGTAATAGGCATCAAATTCTTTGTTTTATTGACATACTGTACTATCAGTTATCGATATTTGTGTAACATAATGTTTGTCAAGTGGCAGCATCATCAATATTTACATATTACTTAACCCTTTGGGTTGGAGTCAACGGTACTCGCTTCTCCCTCTGGGGTCTCRGGTTAGATTTCTCCACTGGATATCAAAGGTGAGTAGAGCTGCTGGGTTTTCTCCCTTGATTCGAGGGTTTTTTTCCGGTTCACTTCCACCCTCCGCAACACCCCAAATTCCTATTCATTCATCCTTTTTGAAAAGGCTATACTAAATGAGAAACAAAGAAAGCCCAAGATAATCACCCACCCTTTTTTCATAATCACGTGACCATCAGGGCGTTTGAACTGAATTCAATCGATGGAATTCCACAACACAGGGTGTCGTATCTTATTTATTTTTCATTAATTTTATCGGTTTTTATAACATGTTCTCCAGGTCCTGTGTCTGATGGCAATACTTTAGTAGAGAACTTGGAGTACGATAGAAAGAGTAGATTAACTCGCCACCTTTCAGGTAATCTTTAGCAAAAATACCTGAAACAGYACTGCGTACTTTCTTTCTCTTTTTCCTTTTGTCTTAATTCCTCGTGGGTAGCWTGCGTGCTTTGATTGGTAATCAAGTATAATCCTTAACTGTAAGATGAACATATAGTGCAGTTTTCGTATGACTGTGAAAGCTCAGTGCCGTAAGCAAGAGGTGCCGTGACCGTGAYGCTTTCTAAAATTTTAATTGGCTGATTTTTTCACGCGTAATRTGATTGGTCTGGCATTGCCGTGACCTTGGCGTGACCGTGTCCGCGCCGTGTTTATGCCGTGTTCCGGGTATTTGATTGGATKGAGAGTAAATTCTCGTGCAATGTGATTGGCCTGGCGTATCCCTTGCCGTGTCATGGCCGTGCTCGTGSCGTGAATTTTTCAYAGTCATACGCCGTACTGAGCTTTTCAYAGTCGTACGAAAACTGCACTATAAAGTTACTGCTTCATTATTTCKTATTCTTTTCCTTTATTTTAGTGACAGAGAAGTGGAAACCCCTTGCACAAGAACTGGGAGCAACTCCCATTGATATCCAGTTTTTCGAAGCCAAAACTTCAAACCATTCCATGGCTATTTTAAAAGAGTACGGAGCGCACTTGACAGTTAATCAACTTTATAAACTTCTCGTTCGGATCGGAGCGAATGCGATTGCTGATCACTTGTGATTTTCTCTCAATTGACTCCTCATTTTAAAGTTTTTATTTTGATTCCTGATCGGTGTATTTTAACTAGCTTTAATTTGCTCTTAGACGTAACGTGTTGAAAAAAATAATTGCTCGATTAATATCTCGTCAAGATCCCGTGCCAAAGCAAACCATTCGCCACTTTARAAACGAGTAGTAGCCTGGGTCGAGTTAAGGCACGCAATGACGCTTGGGATTGTTACAGGAGACAGAGATACAATCTTCAACGCTTTTGACGAGCTTTGCGCCAGTTATATCATTCTCAGTGACAGTTATTTCAATTCTTATATGTGTTATATCTTTTTTTGCGCCTTCTGCCATATTTGTTTGTATGCAGGTGTCCTTTGTAACGATCCCAAGCGCCTTGGCGTGCCTAAACTCGACCCAGGTTACCGCTCATTTCTAAAGTGGCGAATTCCAAATGTTTCACTAGTTGAACGTGAGAATCAAACCTTGTTGAAATATAGGTGCCCAAGTTTCACTAAATACTTGACAAGGAAAAGCTAAACAATAAAATTAAGTGTAAATGGACAAGAAGGTTTAGTTATTGATGTATCTACTCAATCTAGTACTCATTGTTTCAACAACGCATCTTGCATGCATGAATTGGCCAAGCATACTTTATTTATTTCCAGTTAAACAGGAATAACAGGATAAAAGGTCAAGGATGGTTCTCAAGAATCAAAGGTCAATCGGAGTTCTTTTAGCTTGGGCGTACTGTTTTCCCATTTCAGCTGACCGCATGACGTTCTCTTGAGGATAAGATTCTTTATTGAGTTGTATCCATATTCATGTGTCTTCTCGTGTAAAACCGTTAAACAAAGAAATGATACTCTAGGAAATTACACGGGGTCTGAAATGGGGAAAACGTCATGCCCAAGCTAGAGTTCTATTCCTCAACCGGTCACTCAATTTGGTTTGCCAACTAAATGAAAAATAATGGAAACACGTGACTCACATGAAACACGTTCACTCTGCTACTGCGCGTTACTCGTGACCCACTTTTCGATGATCAACCGTTGTCTTATTAAAAATGAGAAACTATTGCCCTTCCCTGACGAAATTCTTCAAGAAATATCAATTTGACTTTCGTTATTTTCAAATTATACACTGTAGATTTTAAGATTTTAGTTGAAGTATCGGAGTCGACATTTCTTTTTCCGCAATCTAAGTCTTAGTTCTTGGAACTCGAGCCTTGGTTATGACAGGGATTCGTTTATGAGTTTTTACAAAAGGGTGTTGCATAGTGCAACGCTGCAAAATGTTGGCAATCGTTGCGAAAAGTAAAACCGAGTTCTACTTTGTGCAACGATTGCAGCAACTTGTGCGGTCGCATTGATTTTGAGTGTTGCAAAATATTTTACACGCTGCAGCAATAGTTTATTCGATCAACTTTGCAACGGCATTGCGAGACAAGTTGCAGACAAAAATGGACCATGCATGTTACTAACAGAAATGTAACGGGGTCTTGAAATTAGATTAAAATCAGAGAAAAAATTAGTAATTTTCCCCTGATGAAAATTGTATGGCTATTTGGACAAGCTTTGGAAAACAAATGAATAAACTTCGTACATCCTTCAACACCCTCCTTGATTTCCCACAACTAAATAAGGAAGTTACACATATCGAATACTGTTTCCATCCAATCTTTAAATTATTTGATCTTGTAGGGGAAATTTCTTAGTGGCGACGGCTGTTATTTGGTTGTTGACCTTGTCTTTCTGTATATCGATTTTCATATCAGAGGCTTTAGTTGATTTAGGGCTCGTGCCAAAAAAACTTGCACTATCGTATATTATTTCCAGTTTTCATGATTACCATTGTTTTCAGAGTCACAACAGGGCAATAGACTAAATACCGTCAATTAAGTGAATCAGTAGAGTACGTAGAGGTACTTGGGAGCTTACTCTAATCTTGGATTTGATACACGGTATGGTCTTTGAAAGTTTTCCTTGACACAGCTTTGATCAGCGCGTTGTAACTGAAGACAGAAGTAGTAAAATATCAAGGGGAAATTTCTTGGTGACAGCGGTTATTYGTTGACYGACCTTTTCTTTGTCACAAGGKAATACTGTATATCTGTATTGTCATAGTATCTGAGGCTTTTCATAGCAGCAAAAGTGCCATAGATGACGCATGCATGGCAAAAAATTAAAGCAAAGAATGAGAAACTATTATTTTGATATTTAATTATTTGCAATCATTTTACTCAACCATAAGACAAACCCAGATAGGCCTGTATAGTGTGATTGGTATTCATATTTCCCAGAATTCGGGTCAAATCAACAGGAGTATCCGGTTTGCATTAGATTCGACTACTGATTGGCCGCATGATAATTAGGTATATGTCCCGATCATGTTCTTTAAACCTCTTTCGTATCCAACAACTTTCAATTTGTATCAAAGCTTTTCAGGCCAAAAAAAGCTGCTGRATGAAGTATCTTTTGCTTTCAGGAGTCTCTTAACGGGCTTGACTACATAATGTATCTGTTAGGATGTCGAGTTGTTCGAGGACCAGACTGGAAGTGGGGTGACCAAGATGGAGGAGAAGGAGGTGTTGGGACAGTTACCGATGGTTTATCCGATGGTAACCCGCTGAACAACCAAAAAGTTCGTGTTTGCTGGGACACAGGACAAGAAGCCGATTATCAACTTGGACTGGATGAAAAGTATGATCTGCGGATCCTTGATTCAGCTCCTTCGGGTAAATTTTTCAGTTGACAACATCATGTAAAAGGAGAAGAATGTTAATTCACCTTTTCGGCGCTAGCCGTCACGGGGTATAAATTGTTTTATAATTGTTACTGTCACCAAAAAGTTCGGACGTTGTTCTCGAATTTCCGTACAAATGTACTGACTCTAAATGAACTATTTACTTGGTTTATGTTTAGTTAGTTCTCTAAATACAAGTAAATGATCATTTTTCTAGCTTGATTTAAGTTTTTCTTACTGCTGTTAACATAACTAACTAAAGAAATCTACCTAAATTTTCTCTTTAAAGTCAGTGTATTTGAGAACGATGTCCGAACTTTTTGGTGACCGTAACACAATCCAAGCTAGCGTCGAAAAGGTGAATTGTTTAAAATAACGACACCGAAAAAATGAATCTCTAAAATTTCGGGACACTGAGATGACGTACTTTTCTAATCTCTGAAATAGACATTCAATATTATTATAATTTAAGTTTTAGCGCACTAAATGCTGGGAAACTACACATTTTGCCTTTTCATTTGCAATTAGGAGGGTTAAGGATTCCCCATCCCGAGTTTGAACTTACATGACGTCATGTCGGAATTTGTTGCTTAATACTATGGAGGTTTTGCATCGTCACGTGACGACAGTCATGTTAGATGACAGGAACAGTGCAATTGCCTTACATGAGAAAGAATTTAATTCCTGAAAGCCAAGGGATTTATTGTTCTGCCATCTAACCACAGGCAGCCCAAACTGTATAATGCGCGTGGACAAGTGATGGTGCAAAATCTCTGAATTTCAAAACGTTA